CCTCTGTCTTTAGGCCATTCCCACAGGGGCATTTCTCGTCTCATGCACAGTAGAATTGTGAATGGGTTGATTCAACAATGTCATGCTCATAACTGTCCCTGAACTAAAACAGGGATCTGCTGCTTTTTCTTTCCTACTCCTTTATATCGTCCTTTTCCTCTACTTCTTTTTGTATTTTTGTCACACTTTTGTGACCTGCTATTTCCGGGGTGCCTTGAAAGTCGAAACAGACTTTGTGCTATTGAAGCTAGAGAGGTGAGCAGAGTAAGCCTGATTCCCTGTAAAGACTTCTCTGTTGACATCCACCCCTTGGCGCTCATATGACCTTATGCAGTTGCTAGCGCCGTAAAACCTCTACTAAATAATTATATTTCTTTTCTCAGATTGTGCGAGGTTTTGAACCTAGAACCACGCCGCATTTTGATCGCGGAAGTCCTTTTCTCTAACATCGGTGGTACGGCCACGGCCATTGGTGATCCCCCCAATGTCATCATTGTAGGAGCGCTGGGCAGCCAGGTGAGATAGACATGTTGCTGAATAGGATTCCAACAGTCGTAGTCTTTGCATCTAAAAATACTTACATATTTTTTTTAAAATATGTCTGCAGAGTATTAGCTTTACCGTTTTACTCCACATTTATTAAAATTCAAACAGACTTCAACATAAGTTAAGGACCACCTTGACTGACAGCCCTGATTTTTTTTTTAATCGGAAAAAAGACAGCAAGGAATGTTTCAAATGCTTTTGCTCACAAAGTGTAAATGGGTTAACAATACGTACTGCAAAGCTTCCTAAAGGGGCAAAACCGCAAAGTGGTCCTTAACTTATGTTGAAGTGTGTAAAATTGTACATTCCTTAAGTTCAGTATTGTCACATTATTATCATTATTATCTGCAGGTATCACTTTTACCACGTTCATCATAAAATCGTCTGCAGAGTATCACTTTCACCAAATTCAATGTGATTCATAGGATTTTACATTCTCCAAGTTCATTATGTTCACCATATTATCAATATGTGCAGGGTATACTTTTTACCACGTTCACCAATGTCTGCCGGCTAACTCTTTTACTATGTTCACCTTGTCATCTGGAGGGTATCACTTTCGCCATATCTAATGACATGATGCTTTAGGGTTTTACGTTCTCCAAGTTCATTATTTTCACAATAGTATCATAATCTACATGGTCTCACTTTCGCGATGTTTACCATGTCATCTGCAGGATATCACTTTCACTATGCTCACCATGACATCCGCAGAGTGTCACATTTAACATGTTCATCACTGTCTGCAGGGTATCACTTTCACTGTTTTATTATTCACCATGAAATCCGCAAAGTGTCACTTTTACCATGTTCACCATTGTCTGCAGGGTATCACTTTCACAACGTTCACCATGCACGTTGCCCCAGGTATTGTCCTCATCTGCTTCGTCGGCTACGGGCTGCTCAGACTATACTATCGTAACATGGATGAACTCAAGAACAAGGACCCTCCAGATATATCAGGTAGTATACTCACGTACGCTTTTATGCACACACACATAAACACGTTCATACATGCACAAACACACACATATATGCACACACACACACACACACACACACACACACACACACACACACTCACACACACACACACACACTCACACACACACATACACACACACACACACACACACACATACACTTGCACCTTCATACACACGCATTCAACTACGCACAAACACATTCACACAATATAACCTAATTGTTTTGTTAGTACAGCAAAACTCTTACTTTAAAAAAAAAACATAGCAAGATGTTTTTCTATTTTTATCCAGAAACGAAAACTATAGCAACATGTCATTCTATCGTATCCAGAAATGAAAATCCTAGCAAAATTGTTTTCTATTGTATCCAGAACCTCTCATCTTCGCCACTTCTGTGGCCGAATTGTGTTATAAGTGCCTTAAAACTGTTACTAAAACACAACCAAATGAAAACCATAACTACATGTCGTTGTTCTATCGTGTCCAGAAATGAGAACCATAACAAAGTATTGTTGTGGGTGGTTGGCGGGTGCTCTGGTGTGGTTTGCTCCTTCTTTCCCATCAAACATCTATCGTCTTTATCTCCCATTTTTCTTTTTTCGTGTTTGTTACTCTTATGTTGAAAGTGCCGTAAAACTCTTACTAAAACTTTAAAAAGTGTTGTTCTATCGTGTCCAGAAATGAAGCAGGAGATCTCCATGTGGCGTCTGACCGCCAGCCGTCTGCAGACTGTGACGAGAGAGGAGACGCTGATGAAGGCGTTGTTCCTGCAGAAGGCCGTGGAGATGGAGCATGTCATGTACAAGACGCTGCACAGGATGAGGTGATGATGATGATGGCGGTTGTGGTTGTGGTTGTGGTTGTGTGCTGATGGTGGTGATGATAATGATGATGATGATGATGATGATGATGATGATGATGATGATGATGATGATGATGAACACCCAGGCCTATACGAGCATTTGATTAAACGTGAAATCCCTATTCATGTCTCAAGTATTTTTTTTTCTACTGTAAAATGATGATGATGATGATGATGATGATGATGATGATGATGATGATGATGATGATGATGATGATGATGATGATGATGATGATGATTTATGGGTTGTCTATTTGTTGATTGCGCATGAGTTTGTTCCGTCATTCTGTATGTTTGTATTAGTCTTCTAGACACAAGACGAAACAGCATTCGGGAAGTAAGATGTAATGTGACCGTGATCTGCTTCTTCTTTCCTACCATACATCTGTCGCCCTTATCTCTCCTCCTTCGATTTTTTTTTGTTACTCTCTTACATCACTTCTCATCTTCGGCACGTATGTGCTTAGCTTATATGACCTTTCTGTGTTGCAAGTGAGTAAAACTTTAACTAAAACTAAAACTAAAAGGGGCTCGAAGGGCGAGGAATAATAATAATTCACCTTTCAGTCTTACGATTGTCAGCAAATGTTACTTTATCTTCTATGCACAGACGGGAGGAGCAACACGACATGATACAGACATTGCGAAAGCTGGAGAGACAGGTACCTTATAAGCGAAAGGGGGGGTGTAAGGGTGTACTTTGTGCAGGAGTAGCACTAATGTTTCGAGGGTTTCTTTTTATATGTTAAAAAGAGGTGTGTTGCCATTTCAAACGTTTTAGAACTGGCTTCTGTGATGCAAAAGTTTGATCCTTTTAATCTTACACGCAAAGGTCGAGAGAGCGATAAGGATACGAAGAAGATAAGTATATGAGTTTCTTGATATTTTGGTTACGATGTGTTCCCAACCGCTAGCGATGGCCCTGTAAACAGCCTGCCTCCTTTATTGTGTTGATAAAAGTGCAAAACTTAAACATTTCCAGTTGATACAGCTACTCGTCATATGACTTGAAAAGTGTGCAAAAAGGCGGAGGAGTATTATACCATTATTATGAAACAAGCTCACGCTGGCGTTTTAAATGCATGCTTTCGCTAATTTGGCGAGTTCATATTTACAGGAAAAGGACGAAATACAGTTGGAATAATAAAGATAAGAAGATAGAGAGGGTATGGGATGAAAGACAGACAACAGACAGACACAGAAAGAGATACAGAGAGATAAAAAGACGAGTCCTAGATAGATAGATAGATAGATAGATAGATAGATAGATAGATAGATAGATAGATAGATAACTGAATAATTAATCAACAATTCGCCCTTCTCCCTGTCATCCTCAGTACTACATCAAGGATTTCCCACTGTTGCTCAAGAGCGGATTTGTCCTCTGCGTTGTTGTGGTCTTCCTCTTTATCTATTCCTTCGTTGAGCAGATTCACCTAGACATAGGTGAGTTACGACAGAACTTAACCGTGTTTCAGGAGGGATGGAGCGGTTGGGGCGGTTGCGAAGAAAAAAGGGGGCATGGGCAGAGATGGAGTGGTCTTTTATAGAATTATAATGATCAAAATAGTCGCTTTTTAGTGGCCGGAGCAAATTTATCATTAATTGTTGATAATAATTATTATTTGCTGCTTGTATACTGATAGCCAAGAAAAGTAAAGCAAAGTAAAGTAAAGTAAAATAAGCAACATGGGTGATATGTATAGATCTCTTGTGGTCCAGTTGTTTAATTTCGTAAGTACTCTGAAAAGTGTGATACGATTGACGTGTTTCTGTCACTTGCAACATGAGTGGCCAATGACGACTGAGAGCTTCATTAAACATAGAAGCATAAAACCTCTGGGTAAGTAGTATCGGCAATTCTTTGCGTTTAAAGTTTATCCAAACACTGATGCTATTAAAAGGAGGTGGGACCTCCTTATTCAATAGTTATCTCCAGTATAACCGAGCCAACTGTCTGGAGGGACTTGAAAACTCCTCTAAACAACCAAAGTTAAGATAATGTGACTCGTTTAGGATCCGAACCAGGGAATTTGGTATTGGCACCGTGCAGGTGGTTTCTGGGTGCACTGGTGTGGATTTCCCCTATAATCCTATCAAACACCTACCGTCCTGATCTCATCTCCTTTTTTGTGTTTGTTAATCGCTTGAAACACCTCTAATCTTCGGAATTTATATGATCTTATTGTGATGCGTGTGCCGTAAAACGATCACGACAACTAAACATGCGCACCGTTATTCATCAACTGAGCTAAAAACGAAAACTCACTTGTTCGAAAACGATATAAAAACAGTTAAAAAGCGTTTAATTACCTTATCGGATTTTGAGGGCGCCACTGGTAGGCCTTACTTCTTTACTTTCCCTCTATAGTTTTTGTCTGTCAGTCTTGCTTTGTGGGTGGTTGGCGGGTGCTCTGGTGTGGTTTGCTTCTTCTTTCCTATCAAACATCTATCGTCCTTATCTCCCCTTCGTCTTTTTTATGTTTGTTACTCTCTTGTAACACCTCTAATCTTCTGGCGCTCATATGACCTTATTGTGTTGCGAGCGCCGTAAAACCTGTACTAAAACTAAAGTCTTGCTTTTTCCTCAACACGAACTGTGTGTGTCGATGTGCTTCTCTTTACTTCTATTGTTTCTTTCTGTCTGTCTGACTTTTCCCCAGCACTAAGCGACCGTTATTGTGTCGATGTGCTTGACTTTACTCACACAAACAAACGAACTCACATCGGACAGGTTGGATCGCGGTGCTGGGAGCTCTGTGGCTCCTTGTGTTGGCAGACAATGACGACATGGAAGGTATTCTGCACCGTGTGGAGTGGAGTACACTGCTCTTCTTTGCTGCTCTGTTCGTACTCATGGAGGTATGTCTCTCTCTCTCTCCCTCTCTCTCTCTCTCTCGCTCTC